CATACTCATCGCCCTGATGACGGAGGCAGTATGACCTCTGAAACGTTGGTGAACATCGACCAGACTACATGGCGCAACAACCCAGAAGACAGGAATCTTCATACCAAATCTGCTTATGTGCATCTGATGACGTCATGAAACGTCATCTTGTGCTCAACTTTGTTCGCATCTGTGGCAGTGAGCGGTCTCTTCACTTGGGTTTCATGTTGTTTTCGGCCGTGATTATAGTTAGTTGTGCGTGGTTCTGGCTGACTATATTTTATAAAGCATTTGCAATGTCGGTTTGTGCAGTTTACGGCTGTAACAACAGCACAAACACGAATAGAAAACGGAAAAAATTGAGCTGGGGCCGTATGACTTGAGGTGAAATGTCCGTACGTGGAAAACCGTTAATCACAGGTTAGCTCGCCGGGCGGGCTAATAGTCTCATCGGGAAAATCAGCATGTTGGCTTGAAGACTGAATTTGAAAGTGATATAAATATAAAACTCATGCTGAAGTCTCTTGCTGCATTAATCTTTGTCCTAGTCCATGATGTGAGGAGTGTCTTTGATAAGCTTGCCGCCACATTTCCAGACGAAGATAACTATAATGAGGTGCTCACGTACTTCTTTTTCACAAAAAACAAATTTGGCCAACGGGTGCCAAGGGTAGGTTAGGTTACTGTGTATATTATGTTTGAACTTTACTTTATAGCATGAACATAACGCTTTATTAAGAGTGTATTACTTGATAGTATTGTGAATGTGAGAATTTTTCTGTTTGTATTATTCCATGTGAGCATTTTTCCTTGTGTGTATTTTTCGTGTGAGCATTTATGAGATTGGGCTTTTTTCTGTGCAATTTTCATGTGGGATTTTGACATGGATCCGTCAGAGCAGACAGTAGATGTTAATATTTTAATCGATATGTTTAGTAAATTGCACAATATTATTTATTATCTAAATAAAGATGGTGAATACATCTCATTGAAACCATTAGCAAAATGAAGTTCCTGGAATAAAATTCAGCTTAAGTGGTATGCCGTGTAGTAATAAGAATGACTTCTGTGGGGGAATCTAGAATGCTGTTAGTACTTTTCATAATAGGCTTATTGTGTGCAAGGAATAACAGAGGAATGAAAGTGAATTTGGCTGGCAGTTTTTCTAAACTGTTCTGCAATTACATATTTATCGCAGCGTCGTACCTCTCTTACTTGCTACCGAGGATCTACGTGTTAGAATATGCCGCGTGTCCTGTTGGTTGTTAGTACGGTGTTGCAGCTGGAGGGAGTGCCGAGGCCCGGGCAGTTAGCCACTGCCCCTTAATTAGGGACTAGCCCTGGGATTTAGCTGATGTTGGTGCATGTGGAATTTGTGATGGGACAGTGTCTTTTTCTCTTTCTTTGAGTCTTCCGGGATTGCGCTGTCAGCATCATTTCACCGCAGTTGCAAAATTACTCGTCCGTCACCTGGGGAATGAACGATGGTCGGAAGCCGCAGACTACAGATACTCATCCCGTCGCAAGAAAGACTGCAGCTCGCTCAATTCTATTTGCCGACGACAGAGAAAAGGGAACCGTAGGTGTCATGCTGGTCGCCTGCCTTCCACCCAGCATATCACTGACGAAAAGAATTTGACAGTGAAGATGCAGAAGAGCGTATCCTTTACTTAGCCTCGCCGATAAAAGGAAATAACATCGATGAGGACAAATACATTCATGTAAACAGGGCCTTCATCACGTGATTTAATTATACACGCTGTAACCGTCCACTGCTCGTGGCCTCGTGACAGCTGCCGTTTCAGGGTTGGTGTTTGACTGCCTCTTGTAAACGTCCTTTCACTCCAAACTTTCCATCAGGACGCCCGGCTGGTTACAAGGAGTTTTCTGTTGGGTTTCGTTTTGGTAGCTCAAGGGCATGGACTCTCGCCTTCAGGGAATATACGTGGTGGCTATGAAGGGTTCCAGAAGCAAGGTGCGAGGCGGTGGGATACGAGGGGATGTAGTCCGATAATTCTGTATTAGTTCACTTTT